CCCCCACCCCCCTGCGGTACTCCAGAAAGCTCGCTGACCGCTCTTCTATGCGCTGACACTTGGCTCCCTATCCGCACTCAACTCAAAGGCAAGTGCTGCTGGATCTTTAGGACTGCCCCGCGAAGCAGAGGGGGTGAGTTTACGCAGGGAAACACCCCAGGTCAGATGACAACTGACGGGAGGGTCGGCCAGATTGCTTACGCGCTGCTCTTGGCTCTGCTAATGCCCCAGCTGGGGGAAGTGGAGCATGGCATCTTGGGTGTGCCTCCCTCTACCTCCCCAGACTGTAAGACACCGAATCAGAGAAACGTTCAGCTGAAGGGAGCCTGAGAAACCATCTAATCAGCCACTTCTTCTAAAAACGAGAAAAACTGAGGCCCAGACTTAGAAAACTAAATCAGACTTATCACATAACTAAAAAGCAAATGAACCAAGACCAGAAAACAAGTCTCTTCATTATATGGGTTTAGTGCTGTCTGCTTACAGTGTAATCCTAAATCAAAACTCAAGACTGGGGATAGATTCACCCCCCAAAACCACTATTTTTACTACTATTCTGTATTATTAGAACAATGGTGTTTTATTTATTTTATTTTTAAAAAAGATTTTATTTATTTGAGAGAGAGCGAGTGAGTGAGAGGGAGAAGCAGGTTCCCCGCTGAGCAAGAAGCCCAATACGGGGCTCCAACCCAGGACCCCGAGATCATGACCTGAGCCAAAGGCAGACGCCTAACCGATGGAGCCACCCAGGTGCCCTAGAATAATGGTGTTTTAAACAACACTTCTATATCATCCATATAATTTTATTTTCCAAATTAGTCATTCTTTATCAAAAACACTAAGAATCCAAACTTAGAGGCCTACTAGGAACCAGACCCTGCACCATGTGGGTTTTGGGAAAGCCTCACCACAGCTCCATGAGATCGGTACTCTCATCCTGGTTTTGCAGATAGTAAACCAAGTCCCAGAAAAGTTAAGTGACTGGTCCCAGATTCCAAGCACTGAACGACAGAGAAGGACACAGCGCGCGCACGCACACACACATACACACACAGGTCTGCCTCCCAGGACCGAACACGCTCTAGAAAATGTTAAAAAAAACCCAAACTAAAAAAAAAAAAAAAAAATTAATTTCAAATGACTTTTGGAGACAGCTTTCCAGCTCACAAAATCAGCTAGGGTGAGTCTCTTCTCCCAGGCTGGGCCAATTATGAACAATTCTATCTATAACCAAATTCTGAAATCTCCTGTCACCTCGGATTACGGACTCTATTCTCACAAACACAATCACCGATGGGTGGCTCTCTCGAAAACACTAACACCTTTTTCAGGCAGTTTCTCTGGCTGATGGTTTCCTGGACCCGTTCAGAAGGTGTGCGAGACGCCATTACCTACTGTCTGATCAGTAACGCTTCACAGGTGTCTATAGCCGCCGCTCTGCACGTTCCTGACTGGTGTCACGTGACAAGCTTGTAATCCTTCACTTTGTCGGCTAGTAGTTACACACGTAATTGGGGCAATCCTGAGACATCTTCAAGGGAAGTCTTACGTGCTGTCCACTTCTACCTCAACGGCACAAAAAAGTCAAGAAGCCTTTCGTGAAAGTCGAAGACGATTAAAGCAGAATGTCACCGTATTCCAAATACCAATGAAAAAAAGAAAAGTTTGGGGAAAACATCACCCACACGTTCACTGATGAAGGCTAAGAAAGAAGTAGACTCCCTTTCCCATTGCAGAAGCAGCCAATTCGCATACGCCTCCTCCCACCCGGATTTATGAGATGGCCTGGATGAAACTGAACATTTCGCCATGGGTCTGCACCAATGACATGAGTACACGGCTTCCAAAAGTGTGGGGGAGACCTTGGTTCTGACCTGCAAACGGTGCAAACAGACAAATCTTTTTTTTTTTTTTTTTAAGATTTTATTTATTTAGGCACCGGCGGGCTGCAGAAGCAGATATGTCGGCTGTCCTGCAGCGCGTCGAGCGGCTGTCCAGTCGGGTGGTGCGCGTCCTGGGCTGTAACCCGGGACCCATGACCCTGCAGGGCACCAACACCTACTTGGTAGGGATCGGCACCAGGAGAATCCTCATTGACACTGGAGAACCAGCAATTCCAGAATATATCAGCTGTTTAAAGCAGGCTCTGACTGAATTTAACGCAGCAATCCAGGAAATCATAGTGACTCATTGGCACCGTGATCATACTGGGGGCATAGGAGATATTTGTAAAAGCATCAGTAATGACACTGCATATTGTATTAAAAAACTCCCACGGAATCCTCCGAGAGAAGAAATTATAGGAGATGGAAAGCAACAATATGTTTATCTGGAAGATGGAGATGTGATTAAAACTGAAGGTGCCACTCTCAGAGTTATACACACACCTGGCCACACTGATGATCATATCGCTCTACTTTTAGAAGAGGAGAATGCGATCTTTTCTGGAGATTGCATCCTAGGGGAAGGAACAACTATATTTGAAGACCTCTATGATTATATGAACTCCCTAAAAAAGCTATTGAAAGTCAAAGCTGATATTATATATCCAGGACATGGCCCAGTAATTCATAACGCTGAAGCTAAAATTCTAGAATACATTTCTCACAGAAATATCCGAGAACAGCAAATTCTTACATTGTTTCGTGATAATTTTGAAAAATCATTTACAGCAATGGAGGTTGTAAAAAACATTTACAAGACTATTCCTGAGCATTTATATAAAATGGCTGAACATAGTATCTTGCTTCACTTGAAAAAATTAAAAAAAGAAGGAAAAATATTTAGCAACACGGATCCTGAGAAGAAATGGAAAGCTAATCTTTAGTTTCAGATTAATGAAAGCTTTTGTTGGCTTGTTTTATTTTTAGAGAATGGTATGTTTTCTTGACTATAATTATTTACAGGGAATACAGAGTATAGAACATTGAAAATAATCCTAAATATACTTTAAAATAATGTCTTATTTCGTCTAAAATATATATTACACTTTACATGTATAATATAGGTCGCTTATCTAATCTGAATGGTACAACATTTTACCAAAAATTCAGAATCCAACAGTTTATCCATGTTCAACAGATTTATGGTTACTTTAAAA